CCCCAACGACCCTGTTTATTTTTGCAAAGAATGTTAATACCGTCCGCATTCCTCTATTCCCAAATTGCTGTTTTAAATTACCGCTGCTATTCCTGAGGGGGGGGCGGGGGGGAGAAGCGACAAAGGAAGCTGTAGTATCCCGCCGATTGCAAACACCTGTTGTCCTGCAGGCTGTTAACACCTCTCTGTTTACAACAGGGAATGGGGCTCACCTTGATCTCGGCTCCCTCTCTGCTGGCAAAGTCTCGGACTATAACAAGCCGAGCAAAACTCAAGGGCTTCATTCATTAAAAAAGCAACAGGGTCTTATAATTAGGGAGAGACATCAAATGAGCATGACAAAAAACAAAACAAAAACAAAAAAAAAGCTTTATCTAACTTCTCTGAGGAATCCCCTTCAGCTGAGAGGTGCATTTATGTGACAGATCACCTGCCTTGTCAGGTGGTGGTAGGAAGCAAGGACTTTAAAAACACAGGCCTCAACATCCCCTTTGAAGGAAATGCAAATGAGGCAAGGAAACAAGGAGCACATCTGTTTGACTTTAAATATCAATAGGGCCGTGTCATCAGTGAGAAATGATTAATACAGGCCCGTTAACTTAAAGAAAGGAGAAAGAGCAACAAAGGAAAGCACATGAGAAGTCATTTAAAAGCTCCCTTCCTCCCAGGGGTAATAGAAATACCCACACTTTGACAGCAGGACCGTTATCTGAGGTGTGTCCACACGTTGGACACCGCTCCAGGAATGAAATGCAAACACACCCTTATGAAAAGAGAACAAAATCACAATGGAGAACATAAATAGCAGTGGCTCAAAGTTTTTGTTTCTCTTTTTGTTTTATACTCTTCTCCTAAATTGATCAGACATCAACAGAAAATCCACACGGCACAATTTGCTTGCATTTTCCCACCCACTAACTCGTTTTCAGCAGCGCAGGAGCCATCGCATCTTACTAAGCAAAAATAAAAGCGATATTCGCGTATCACCTCAGTTCCCGTGAGCTACACTGGGTGGTACACAGGCTAACGCAGGACCGAGACTACTTGATATGGACGCCACACGCTGTCAGATCCACGACGGAACAACTTGGTTTGTCAATCAAAAAAAGAAGAAAAAAAAGTAGTCCGAGCACCGGAAACGACGATTTCACCACAGTCCAGCACGTAAATAGAAAGAGCGAAGCAGGAAAAAACAGACGTTATATACTCGCAAAAGTCCATTTATGCGCGTCACACAACCAGGAGACAGATATTTGAACAAAGTAGAGCCGCACATGCGACGTTGTAACGGTTCACCAGTATTTTCACACCACCCTTAAATAACAAAAAAAAAACGTCTTGCTTCGCACGTCGGCATGTTAAAACATTAAACAATGTAACCATTTCAAATGTTGCTGCGGGCTACAAGCTGTAATGAAGTGAGTAAAGACAGAAAAGTAAAGAGGTTCGCTCGCGACCACCGTCCTACAACAATCAGGATTCCCAATGCGCGACAGGAGAGGATCCGCTGTCCTTATATGGGCTGCGCTCGCCCTGCTCACACAAACAGCGCGTGAGATACTCCTCGTTCTCCGGAACCTCCGGCTACCCCATCCATGTTTCTCCCAAGCTTTCTGCCACTGCTTCACTGTCAAACCCCCTCTGACAAGTCATATTTAATGTTCACGGCGTGTGCGGCATCGAAATGAAACATTTAAGTTAGAGGAAAGGCAAGTGTTCAAAGCGAGCTCCAATACACCGATACAGTTTCAGCGCTTCTCGGCTTTAAAGCTTGAAAACTGTGTTTACATTCACACTTAAGTGTCTGGATAACGGGACAGGTCGGGTTAAATGGGGGAAAATTCGTTTTGTCAGCCCCCGTAGCGCAGCAACAGTGTCCTGTCGCTACCTGCTGCCTGTGCGCGAAAGAAAGAACAAACAGTTGTGTCCCCTCTGCTTCACACGCGCACAGATAATACAGATAATTATCAACATCGTCGAGAAAAAACAAACCAAACCAAAACACAGTTCTACTTAATGATTTCTTTTATCCATATGTAAAAACACAATGTGTCCGTCGAGGTCCGCAACAGGAATCAGGTAGACCGTTTCCCCTCAGAAACAGGTCCGAGTTTAGTGGTGGGCTCAATAACTCGACAGAATGGGACTAAATCAATGGATTGTCAGCCTGTAGAGACGGACAAAGTGTGTTTAAACGAATAAAGCAGTTTAAAGTGGAAACAAAAGCTTTTCCACTCATAACGGACTGAGGTGCGTATAACGGTCTCCGGCGCAGAGAGCCGCTAGGCGGTGGGAGAGCCGCGACCCAGGTATAACGGTACACCACATAGGGCTGTAATACAGCGCTCACTTGCTACTTCCCAGCACTTTCGGTGAGTAAAAACCGGACCTCTGGGCCACGAAACTTTTCGGCAAAATTACTGGGAGACAGGACGGCGTTCACACCGTATCTCTGAAAGCAAAGCTCCGAGTCGGAAGTAGTTTTACTCACCGTTGGTCCTTTTCGGGTTCGGCTGCTTTCTGCGCTTACACCTGGGGCCATCCGCCATGATCCTTTCGTTGTGTCTAAATGCTGCCGGAGAGTCACCTCCTCTCTCACCCCCCTCTCTCCCCCCCTCCTCCTCCTGGCTTCCCTTCACCTCCCCTTCTCCGCACCTGGTTTACGACACTCTTTACGGCATCACCTTCCCGCACCTCATCGACCCACGCTGCCAGTATCCTTCACGCGGAGTGCTGGGAGTGAGAGCGAAAGCTGCGTGGAGTCCGTACCTGCTCCGCTGTCACGAATGTGGCGTGTTTTTAAACAGCATAAATATTTTTCTGTGTATTTTTCTTTGATGATACTGAAAGGTATTTCCACCACATTTTATTTTTATGACCACAGCGCAAATTGGAAGTTAGTTAAAATATATTTTTCTCCAAATTATTATTATTATTATTATTATTTGGATGTTTTGTTGACTTTTAAAGCACATGGAACAAATGTCAAAAACAAAAACAAAACGAACAAATAAAAAAATACATGACAGATGTAAAAAATAAAAGAATTAGTAGTTATTTAATCCGTTTTGGATAAGTTTGGGAGTGTGTGTGATTGTACAGGTATTCCAGTAGGTAAGCAGATTACTGCACTGCAAGGAAGAATGCAAAAAAGCCTGGAGCCGGTTTGTATCTGTCACGTGCTGGATCTTTGTTCTTGGAACCTTTCAGAGAATTTGGCCCTGAAAAATGAAGGTGAACACTTGAAATGAAAAAGGCCACGTTTGGCACAAGTTGAGTTAGTATGCTCTCTTTTTATGGCTTCCCAGCACTACTGCTCAGTCACTGCCATTCCCAAATCTCCTTCCAACCAGATTTTAGGATGATCAGCCCCCACCCCCTTACCCTCACACTGATGGGTTTTGTAAATTAGGTAAGTAGCCACGGATAGAGGAGACTGCAAACTTTAATGAAGATTTAAAAGAAGCATGGCTTCCACAGGAGACTCCTCAGGTGCATTTTTAAAGGAAGTTTGCTATCTTTAATCATTTTCATTTTTTTTTCACACCTGAGCCTGACCTGTTCTGTTTGAATGTATGTTTTCCTGTGTGTGAGCACAGTAGGGTTGCAAAAAACAGCAGACAGGGCTTGTGTGTGTTTGTGTGTCAGAAAGAGGAAGCAGTCATGAGACTGTCATCACTGATTCAATCCTCCACCTAAAGAAAGACCCTGCTGTTCTCCTGAGCCGAACCCTCTACGGCGGTGATGAAGAGGACACAGACATGCCAGCACAATCAGCAGGTTCAGACTGTATCCAATCAGACCTAAAACCTTCACACACACACGGGCACACACACACACACAGGGCGAACCACACTGTGTAAACAGAAGAGAAATATCCAGGATCACATGTTTGAGGTGAATTCCTCTGGATGCTTGTAGTGATGGGGAAAGATGAAGTTTATATGATGCTCGCGGTCCCATGACTTGCAGCAGTGTGTTAGAGTTGTGGCTATTCTTGAAGCAGATGACTACAAGCCAGAAGTGTCAAATGTAGGGCCCAGGGGCCAGAACAAGTCAACGGCTTTGCAGAGTAAAAATTGCAAAAAAAAGATGGCATACTTTTTTTTCACTTGATTTTTCAGCAGAGAGAATGGATCACATCTTGAGAGAGTTATCAACAGAGTTGGATATCCTAATCATCAGCTTAACAGTCTTTCTAGTGCTTTTCTTAACTCTTTTCCCCATAAAGATGACATTTGATGACCTCCCCTTCACCCTTAATGATGAGCTTTGACACCTCAGCAGCCCTGAAATATGACAGTTCAGAAAACAGCTTCAAGGGTTTCTCCTAGTAAGCTTTTAAGTTATAGATAGATGTTTTATAAAACATGAATAAGTGCGGAATATACATTAACTTGTTAACAGCAAAAAGAAGAAGGCTTTTTTTTAAAAACACGTCTTTCGGCAATAATTTTAGTGGTCGGGGCCACTCAGGATCAAAGTGGGCTGTAATTGGCTTCTCACGCCTGGACTTCTTGTATCTGAGATGTTATCATCTTTCAGCCCATACTGACTGCATAACCCCGGTTTTGCATCAGTTTGGGGTATCCCGCATTGTCAAGGCAGACTGTTTTAAGGAGGATGCAACGATTTCGAGCTGCTAGTGCTTTAAGAAGCAAGCAGAAGTCTCAGAGATATATTTGGATTAGACTTTGCAGATTTCATCATTTAATCACACACAACATTTCAACATATAAATCTGTCCGTACAGTATTTACACACACAGAGTAACAAACCCCACATTGCAGGACAATCAGCTTATCACTCAGCTACATGTGACAGCTTGTATACACGGGATGGCAGACCTCTGAGGTGAATAATTCAGTAGCAGCAGAGCGGTCCAGCTCTCGGGGCAGGCTGCCCAGACGCAGAGTAATAGCTTTAGCATAAACAACACCTACAAACTTGCTCTAGGTGGCCTCTTCCACCAATAGGCAGCCTGCCTTTCATTGCACTGTGGCTACCTCTCCTGATGAAAAAGGCCCCAGAAACAGTCTGCATCAGCAAAGATCAATGATGAGACACTAAGCTAAGCGTGCGGTCGGAGCTGCACACAGAGTCTGGAAAAATAGGATGCTTGTTATCCAGTGGAAAGTCAGATCTTTCCCATTTTCCTTGGATCACGCCGCTATTATAGCATGAAGTCATTTTTTTCTTTTTCTCAACGTCTGTGGAAAACAAAGAATAACAATTACACGAGGACCGCTAATACGAAATAGACCGAAGACGCCTCTGATGTGTTTCAAAGTAAGTGGAGTAAAACCAGAGCGATTTATTTGCTCTTGCAAACCTCTGCAAAGTTTGCACTGCAGCGAATTCACGCAAATGGGAAACGCACGCTCTCAGTTATACGTAGGTACCCTGTGTGACCCCACCGTGATTGGGATGAATGTTGGGGAGGGAAGAGAGTCTATTACAAGAGACAGATCGAATGTCATAAAAACAAGCTCCTCAGAGTGAAACTCTAATGAAGATGGAGGCCGTTTTTATCCCCTCTATGACCAGGACATACAGGTGCCAGTCACCTGAGAAATGACAACAGCAATAAAAGCACGATCTTGCCTTAAATAAAGTGGCCCATGAAATGAAATGAAAGGCTGACTCTTGCTCATCCAACGGGGAATTAAAATAGAGGAGGGGAGGGGGTGAATGAAAGGGGGGCAGGAGGGATAAGCAGCCATCCTCCACTACATTAAGGGATCATGCTGCTCCCTGAAAATGAGTATTGATCCTCTTAGGTCCAGGATCGTTTAGGAGATTAATGTGAGTAGTGGTTGAACTCCACAGTACTCCACACAGGACAAGGGGGATCAGCTCGGCAGGATGGCCCAGCTAAAGCAGCCTATCGGTGAGTGAGGGGCTGACAGTATTCAGTTTGTGTTTTGGGGGTGGTTTGGTGTGCGTGTGTGTGTGCCATCTGGGCTGTCAGCTAAGAGAATCAGCTGGATGTCCAGAGGTCGAAAGGGTGAAAAACATAAAAGGGGAGGGGGGGAGGTTATAAAATAGAGAAAGAGTCTGAAGGAAAGCGAAAGAGTGTCACGAGCAGGCAGAATAGAGGGAAGGAGAACAAGCAAGAGAAGGAGCAGAGGAAATGAGAGCGAAAGAGAGGAACAGAAACTGCCACAAACAAAAACAAAACAAAAGGACGACAGAAAATGCGCAGCCTGCCTCGCTCCGAATACAGGGGACCGGCTGGAGGCAGTGATAGAGAGAGAGACGCAGCAGAGACTAAACTGCTTAATCTCTCCCAAGAGACGCCAGCCTAAATGTGAGGTCCCCCCTCCCCCTTTCAGACACCACCCCCCCCAACAAAACACTATCACAGCCATTCTGCTCAGCTACAGCCAGGGCCGACAGACACGCACACATATACACACAGTTTAAAAGTCCTGAGGTTGAGCCTTCAGTGCAAAGCGATACTGTGGAGATGAGAAAAGATCCATTTCAGTGCCACACATCCTCGTGAGTAAGCACTGCACGAGTGAGCAGAGTTTGTTGATTTATAAAAGCTGCTGCTTTTAACAATCTGGCTCGTCGTGAATCAACAGAGCCTGAGAATTTTCTCATGTCTCTCTTCTGAGGTCAAGTCGGCCCCCGTGGGGAAAACTCCTAAAACAAATATGGGCTGAAGTATTCAGCGGCGGCTCAATGCAAGCTGTCAGGCTCTCAGAGACAACAATGCAGTGTTTTGAGGGCTAGATGTCAATCTCGGGCACAGTATTCTCAGCTCGCTTCCGTCTCCTTCCGTGGATTTTTTTTTTATTTTGTTCCCCCCTCAAGACAGGAAGTAGCTGACATGCTTGCTGGAGTGAGCCACGCCTCAGATGTTTGAGTTGAGAGAAAGGTGAGGAGGACGGAGCAAGAACAGCTGTCAGACCCCCCCAAAGAATCTGATTACACTTTCTCCACCTACTTTCTACTGTCATGAGTGCTTACCCTATGAATACTGATATACAGCTCCAGTCTGAAAATGTACTTTGATAAAGAGGATTTTTTGCCAAACTCTCATCACAGCATATACCAAACACACCTCTTTAAGGAGCTGCAGAAGATCCACCAGCCCAGCATCCACCTGAATGATGAGCTGGATCCTAGGTGCCAAACTAAATGCATTTGTCTGCTGTGACAAAAACTACACACTACAACTGTAAATAGCAGGCAGTTAATAGTGGTGAACTGATAAAGATTGAACACACCAGTATATATAGTGGCTAAAAGCAGCTCTGACAGACTACAAAAGGCTGTTTAATCTGTGTAAAATAAATGTCAGTACACTGCAGTGCAATGTCACCTAAATGTCATTCGAGTTGCGTGTCACTTTTATTTCTGATGTCAGACTCCATCTTTAGAAAGCCATTTCCCTGCTGTTCTTTGCTGAAAGGGTTGTGTTGCTCTACTCGGCTACACTGAAGGTTTTCTTCTTGGATTTAAGCCAAGTGACTTGGTCCTAGTTTTCATCATCTCTAAAGAAAATTGTGTGATTTTGGCAGTGTTGGTTTGGACCATTATCACACTGAAATGTTCATTTTCTGCCAGACTTCAGGAGGACGGGAAGCAGCTTGTCAGCCTGTATTTTGGTATAACTACAGGCCATCTATAAATGTCATGTGCCCAACAACTTTTCCTCTTATGTAGCCTCATATTATCACACTCACTGCTCGGTCCTCCGATGATGGGTCTGTGTATTCTGCTGTGTTGGTCTGATCTGGAGAATTTTGGATG